ACTCTTGGATATACTGTCTGGGCCTGGTTACCTACTGCATTATCAATTTGCTTCAGCACCTCACCTGAGTCTCTGAGGGCACCTCTTTTCTATTACCAGAGAAGAGCTGGGCCCAGGCAGGGATTTCCCCAACATTTTCCGGCAGTGAAGAGGAAGGTAAGATAATTAAATTCTCAGTGGTGTCCTACTGTCCTTCTCTGTCTACTTGCTCTCATTTTATCTCCAGTGCTTCAATGGACTTAACTATTCTTGGGCACTCTTCCTGTTCTGTTATAGTTACAAAAACAATGAGGAGTCCAGTGGCACCTTAAAGACTAACAGATTTATTTGGGCATAAGCTTTTGTGTGGGCATGAAAGCGTATGCCCCAATAAATCTGTTAAAGGTGCCCCTGGACAACTTGTTGGTTTTTGTGAATACAGACTAGCCTAGCTCCTCTTTCTTTCTAGTTAAAGAATCTCTCATTGGTTGTTGGGTTTTAAACCCTTAGCTGTTTGAGTTTTAAAATCCGTTTTGGCCCTTGTACTTTCCCCTTGATTGCCTGCTGTAATTTAACCCAGCGTTTCTCAAACGTGGCCACCAGGGGCTTCTCCTTGGGCCCCAGCCTCCGGGGCTGTGATGGCGGGGTGCCCTGTTGCTCCTGGATGCCTCACCTGGGTGCTGGGTTCAGCTGCTGCTCCCAGGCCCAGCCATCTTCTCCCCTGTTGGGGAGCAGCCAGCCTGTGCATTCCCCACCTTCCCATGGGGCTCGGGGCGGGTGGTGGCAGGCTCTGCCTGTGGGACTTTAGGCTCTGGCCTCCCGCTGCCTCCATTGCCACGGGCCAGGGCCGGCTCTATGGTTTTTGCCACCCCAAGCAGTGAAAAAAACCTGCTGCCACGGATGGCAAAAGGGAGGAGCTGCCCCCCACTTGCCACCACGGGAACCCTGCCGCCCCTTCCTGGCGGCTGCCCCGAGCACCTGCTTCTGCCCCGCTCCGGGCGCCACGGGTCTGCGCCGGCCCCTGTTCCCAGCAGCCCGACCAGCAAGAGACATGTCTCTGCTGGGGAGGGGCTGGGCCGGGTTTGGGGGTGACTAGGGGACTGGCTGGGGCCATGTCTGGGGAAGGGTCTGAGGCCAGTGACTAAGGCTGCTGGCTGGGGCTTGGGAGTGACAGGGTCGGGTTTGGGGCCAGTGACTAGGGCTGGTGACTGGGGCTGGGTTTGGGGAGTGGCTGGGGCCACGTCTGGGGAAGGGTCTGGGGCCAGTGATTAGGGCTGGTGGCTGGGGCCGGGTTTGGGGAGTGTCTGGGGCCCGGCCTGCGGGAGTGTCTGGGGCAGTGACGGGGGCTGGTGGCTGGGGCCGGGTTTGGGGAGTGACTGGGTCGGGTGTGGGGCTGGGTTGGGGGGTGACTAGGGGAGTGGCTGGGGCCATGTCTGGGGAAGGGTCTGGGGCCAGTGACTAGGGCTGGTGGCTGGGGTTGGGGAGTGACTGGGTCGGGTGTGGGGCTGGGTTGGGGGGTGACTAGGGGAGTGGCTGGGGCCATGTCTGGGGAAGGGTCTGGGGCCAGTGACTAGGGCTGGTGGCTGGGGTTGGGGAGTGACTGGGTCGGGTGTGGGGCTGGGTTGGGGGGTGACTAGGGGAGTGGCTGGGGCCATGTCTGGGGAAGGGTCTGGGGCCAGTGACTAGGGTTGGGGAGTGACTGGGTTGGGTCTGGGGCCGGGTTGGGGGGTGACTAGGGGCCTGGCTGGGGCTGGGGCCGGGGCTAGGGCTGGGTTTGGGGCCAGTGACTGGGGCCCGGCCTGCGGGAGTGTCTGGGGCAGTGACGGGGGCTGGTGGCTGGGGCCGGGTTTGGGGAGTGACTGGGTTGGGGAGTGACTGGGTCGGGTGTGGGGCTGGGTTGGGGGGTGACTAGGGGAGTGGCTGGGGCCATGTCTGGGGAAGGGTCTGGGGCCAGTGACTAGGGCTGGTGGCTGGGTTTGGGGAGTGACTGGGTCGGGTCTGGGGCCGGGTTAGGGGGTGACTAGGGGCCTGTCTGGGGCCAGTGACTGGGGCCGGGGCTAGGGCTGGGTTTGGGGCCAGTGATAGGGGGGCTGGGTTTGGGGAGTGACTGGGTCGGGTGTGGGGCTGGGTTGGGGGGGGGGTGACTAGGGGAGTTGGGGCTGGGGCCAGGGGGTGTGGGCTGGGTTTGGGGAGTGCTGGGTCGGGGGGGGGGGGGGGGGGGGGAGGGGGGTCTGGGGCCAGTGACTGGCGGGGGGGGGGGGGGGGGGGGGCTGGTGGCTGGGGTTGGGGAGTGACTGGGTCGGGTCTGGGGCCGGGTTAGGGGGTGACTAGGGGCCTGTCTGGGGCCAGTGACTGGGGCCGGGGCTAGGGCTGGGTTTGGGGCCAGTGACTGGGGCCCGGCCTGCGGGAGTGTCTGGGGCAGTGAGGGGGGCTGGTGACTGGGTCGGGTCGGGTCTGGGGCTGGCGCGGGGCCGGGTGTGGGGCGGGGCCTGGAACCCAGGGCGGGGCCCGGTGTGGGGCGGAGTCTGGGGCCCTGTGTGGGGCGTGGGGCGGGGCCTGGAACCCGCTGTGGGGCCGGGTGTGGGGCGGGGCCTGGGATCGGGGTTTCCTGACGCGCATTCAGGGGTGGGGAAAGGGAGCGCGCCGGGGGGGCCGGGGCTGCTGTCCGCGCTCGGCTCCCGTAGGGGGCGTGGCTGGGGGCGGGGCCCGGGCCGCGCGCGGGTTTATCTCCGGGGCGCGCGGAGGCGGCGGCTTTTTCTGGGCCACGCGGCGCAGCCGTTCGCGGAGCCGCCATGGCCGATTACCTCATCAGCGGCGGCACCGGCTACGTGCCCGACGACGGGCTGACGGCGCAGCAGCTCCTCAACTGCGGGGACGGGCTGACCTACAAGTGAGCCGGGGGGGGGGGTGGTGTGCCCGTGCCCCGGGGGGTGGTGGTGGTGGGTGTGCCCGTGCCCGGGGGGGGGTGGTGGTGTGCCGTGCCCGTGCCCCGGGGGGGGGTGGAGGTGGGTGTGCCTGTGCCCCGGGGGGGGTGGTGGTGGGTGTGCCCGTGCCCCGGGGGGGCGGTGGTGTGCCCGTGCCCGTGCCCCGGGGGGGGGTGGTGGTGTGCCCGTGCCCGTGCCCCGGGGGGGGGGTGGAGGTGGGTGTGCCCGTGCCCCGGGGGGGGGGGCGGTGGTGTGCCCGTGCCCCGGGGGGGGTGGTGGTGTGCCCGTGCCCGTGCCCGGGGGGGGGGTGGTGTGGTGTGCCCGTGCCCGTGCCCCGGGGGGGTGGTGGTGGGTGTGCCCGTGCCCCGGGGGGGTGGTGGTGGTGGGTGTGCCCGTGCCCCGGGGGGGGGCGGTGGTGTGCCCGTGCCCCGGGGGGGGGCGGTGGTGTGCCCGTGCCCCGGGGGGGGGGCGGTGGTGTGCCCGTGCCCGTGCCCCGGGGGGGGGCGGTGGTGTGCCCGTGCCCCGGGGGGGGGCGGTGGTGTGCCCGTGCCCGTGCCCCGGGGGGGCGGTGGTGTGTGTGCCCGTGCCCCCGGGGGGGCGGGGTGGTGTGCCCGTGCCCGTGCCCCGGGGGGAGGGGTGGTGTGCCCGTGCCCGTGCCCCGGGGGGAGGGGTGGTGTGCCCGTGCCCGTGCCCCGGGGGGTGGTGGTGGTGGGTGTGCCCGTGCCCCGGGGGCGGTGGTGGTGTGCCCGTGCCCCGGGGGGTGTCTGTCTGTCCCGGGGCTGCTGTGCGGGCTCTGGCGCGTTCCCCCCGTACGGCGGGTTCCGGGTCCCAGCCGGTGGCTCGGGCTCGCCCTGGAGCCTGCCTCTAGGCCCGGGTTTGCGCGGGGCGGGCTGGGGTCCCTGGGAGGTGCGGCCCGGGTGTGCCCCGCCTGTCGGGCGGTGGTTGCAGCGCCCCCCGGCGGACGCAGGCTGCGTTATCCCGCTCGCGCGGTGCTGAGGTCCGGCGGGCGGCCCAGACTGTCACCATGCTGGGCCTGTGCCCGGGCAACCTACGTGAGACTAGCCCCAGCCAGTGACCCTGCGCCTGTGTCGCATCCTCCTTTACACCGCGGGCACCGCGCCCAGAGCTTCCGCAGGCTCCTCGCCTGCGCCCAAGGACTTTGGCTTTTGTCTGGCTCTCAAGAAGCCCATCGGTGAGGGGAGCTGCCTAGTGTCCGGGCGTTTCTGAGCCTCCATCCCCAGACGCCGAGACAGGAACTTCTGATTGCAGGGGGTGGTCTGTGTGACTCGGGGCATGGCCACACGGGCGCTTCACGGCGCTGCAACTTTCTCGCTCAGGGTGTGGAAAAACACCCCCCTGAGCGCAGCAATTTCAGCGCTGTAAAGCTCCCTGCGCTGGGAGCTGCACCCCTCCTGGAGGTGGGTTTTTAGAGCGTTGGGGGAGCTCTCTCCCAGCGCTGTGCCGCGACAACGCAAGCCATGTTAAAGCCCTGCCAATGTAGTGTCTGGGGGCAGTTTCACTGAAATGCAGTTGATTTCAGTTTTTCTCTTTCCTTTCCCTCTTCTAGTGACTTCCTTATTCTTCCTGGCTATATTGACTTCACTGCAGACCAAGTGGTGAGTATAAAGGTGAAGTTTGCATTATCTGGAATTAATGACTACAAGCTGGCACTCCGTGACCACAAGGCTCTTCTTGTGTCTGCTTAAGGGGCCATTGTAGAAGGAGAAAACTATTTTTATTTTTAATATCTTGGCTGCCCTTGGAGCTAAACTCTTGGAGATATTGGTGCCCCTTTGAAGATCATGGGAACTAAGAAAAGCACTTGTTGCAAAGCAGCGGTGTGTGGTATATGAAGCAAAAATCCATGCTGGTTTCCCTGGTTTACAGGCCCAGGTAGAGTTGATTTGGGATGAACTTGCATATCACCACAACAAACCTTTCCTTCTTTTAGGACCTGACTTCAGCTTTGACCAAAAAGATAACCTTAAAGACTCCCTTGGTTTCCTCTCCTATGGACACTGTGACAGAGGCCAGCATGGCCATTGCAATGGCGGTGAGTGCCCATGGACAAGAGCATTAGAAGGTGGGAGAAGTGAATCTTGTGAACTGAAGAATAACTTTTTAATACAGATTCCCAAGAGTGATGACATCATTGGTGTTAAACTTGGTTTAAAATGGACAGTTTAAAATAATGTGCTTCAGTATTAAACAAGCTGTCCTGAACTAGGCTCACTATTGCCAGCTGCTGTTTTTTCAGATCTCCTTAAGCTGGTCTTGCTGTTAGTGGGTTGGATCTTATTTCTCTGTATCCTATTGGAGCTTTATCAGGGTGTTCCCTTAACAGTCTAGCCTCTCAGTTGCTGTATTCCTATTCCGAACTCTGTAAGGAAAAACAAACAGTTTGATGTTAAATCATCTTAAAAGGAAATTGGAGCATGTTTCTGGCCTGAATATACTCCTTACATTGGTATCCCATAAGTAGCCAGGGGGGTGGCAGGCAAGTCATGTCTTTTGGATAAGGAAATCCTGGCATTTATACTATTCAGATTCTGTCTCTGAGCTCCCCATTAGCAGTGCAGTTTGCTCTGCTACAGTAGTAGTCTGCCGTCTGTACTTGGTTGTTGAATTCACCAAATAAAGTTGAGGGACCCTATTGTTGCAGTGACTTACTGCTGCCTCTGTGTGTTCTCAGCTCACAGGTGGGATTGGATTCATCCATCATAACTGCACACCGGAATTCCAGGCCAATGAAGTACGGAAAGTTAAGGTAAAGAACAGCTGAAGCAGGAAACGGGGAGCTGCAGCAACTGGGCAAGTCACTAAATGTCCAAAGGGGTCTGGCTCCAGTTTGAGAACCATGAAGTAGGCTTCAGCAAAGGAGAACTGACAGGCAGTATTTCCCCTTGTACTCTAGTCTCTTAGAGCAGTGGCACTGGTCAGTGCAGGTGGACACATCAGCTCTTCTGTCTTGCCATATCCCACAACAGCTAGGGACATGAGAACCTGCTTACTGAGTGTGGGGGAATGTTGGCCAGGATGCTGGGGTTAAACTCCACCTGCCTATTTTGAAAAGTGTCAATGAATTTATCCCCACAGATGGGCAGAAAGGAGCTTGACTTGTTTGATGCAGCATCCTTGCTATTGCAGTCACTAACTCCAAATGCATATGTGCCACGGACTCCAGTGATATGCTCTGCCAGCTTGGGGAGGGTGACAGACCTTCACAGCTCTCTTACCATGAGGAATGCTAAATGCCCGTCACATTACAGCTCAGTCTATCCATGTTGTTTACTTTGCTCTCTGAATGTGCTTGTTTCAGAAATATGAACAGGGATTTATCACCGATCCAGTGGTGCTGAGCCCCAAGGACAAAGTGAGAGATGTGTTTGAAGCAAAAGCCCGTCATGGATTCTGTGGCATTCCTATCACAGACAATGGAAAGATGGGGACTAAGCTGGTGGGGATCATCTCATCCCGAGACATTGACTTCCTGAAAGAGGAGGAGCACGACTTGCCCCTCAGTGAGGTTTGTTTGTTGAGGTCCTGCACTCCTGGTGGGAGAGGGAGGGTTATGTTAGGAAGTGCTACTGCGTGTGGTGATGACGAAGACTCAGTGCTTGAATGAGGTTTGTGAACCAGCCCAGCAGGGACAGGGACCTGGCTCTTTGTTTTATTCCAGGTTTAAATTAGTCTTTCTGTTGCTTATTGCTCTGTGCCTATTACTAGCGTGTTCCAATGACTGCTGGCTCGGGTTTACCATTTGGCACAATCTGGCCATGATCCTTTTTGCTTCCTACAGCAGACATCAGGGTTGCAGGAATGTGGGGGGCCATGGGGCCTTGCATGGCCTTCTCACTGTTTGCCACAGGCCCGGCCCCTTCTGTTCCCCCATGAGACCCCGTCGCTGGGCCGAAAGCTGGAGCCAGGACCAGGTGAGAGTGGCCCAGACAGCTGTGGGGAGCTGCGGACCCTTCACCTGCCTGGGATAGGGGGGCCTGAGAGCCTCTGGGGAAGGGGCAGGACCTCATCCATCTGTCCCCCATACTTCTAGGAAGAATCCGTCGCCCCGGCAGACATTCACTATTGGCTGTAGCCATCATGTCTCTTCTGGTTCTGTATTGGCTACTGCTGCTCTCCTGTAGTGACCTGGCCATTGGAAAGGTGACATCATTGTTTGAATGCACAGACCAAAGCCTCCAAGCTCCTATTCACTGAATAGTGCTTTCAGGCTCCTGGTATAATCCCTTTGGCTGGGACTTGCACCATGCAGAATAACTCCTGGGCTCAGTAAAGTCATGCTTAGCATTTACACAGTGCTTCATAGAATCAAAGAATATCAGGGTTGGAAGGGACCTCAGGACGTCATCTAGTCCAACCCCCTGCTCAAAGCAGGACCAATCCCCAACTAAATCATCCCAGCCAGGGCTTTGTCAAGCCTGACCTTAAATACTTCTAAGGAAGGAGATTCCACCACCTCCCTAGGTAACGCATTCCAGTGTTTCACCACCCTCTTAGTGAAAAAGTTTTTCCTAATATCCAACCTAAACCTCCCCCACTGCAACTTGAGACTATTACTCCTTGTTCTGTCATCCGCTACCACTGAGAATAGTCTAGATCCATCCTCTTTGGAACCCCCTTTCAGGTAGTTGAAAGCAGCTATCAAATCCCCCCTCATTCTTCTCTTCCATAGACTAAACATCCCCAGTTCCCTCAGCCTCTCCTCATAAGTCATGTGTTCCAGTCCCCTAATCATTTTTGTTGCCCTCCACTGGACTCTTTCCAATTTTTCCACATCCTTCTTGTAGTGTGGGGCCCAAAACTGGACACAGTACTCCAGATGAGGCCTCACCAGTGTCAAATAGTGGGGAACGATCAGGGAACGATCATGTCCCTCGATCTGCTGGCAATGCCCCTACTTATACATCCCAAAATATCATTGGCCTTCTTGGCAACAAGGGCACACTGTTGACTCATATCCAGCTTCTTGTCCACTGTCACCCCTAGGTCCTTTTCTGCAGAACTGCTACCGAGCCATTCGGTCCCTAGTCTGTAGCGGTGCATTGGATTCTTCTGTCCTAAGTGCAGGACTTTGCACTTGTCCTTGTTGAACCTCATCAGATTTCTTTTGGCCCAATCCTCCAATTTGTCTAAATCCCTCTGTATCCTATCCCTGCCCTCCAGCATATCTACCTGTCCTCCCAGTTTAGTGTCATCTGCAAACTTGCTGAGGGTGCAATCCACCCCATCCTCCAGATCATTTATGAAGATATTGAACAAAACCGGCCCCAGGACCGACCCCTGGGGCACTCCACTTGACACCGGCTGCCAACTAGACATGGAGCCATTGATCACTACCCGTTGAGCCCAACAATCTAGCCAGCTTTCTATCCACCTTACAGTCCATTCATCCAGCCCATACTTCTTTAACTTGCTGGCAAGAATACTGTGGGAGACCGTGTCCAAAGCTTTGCTAAAGTCAAGGAACAACACGTCCACTGCTTTCCCTTGATCCACAGAACCAGTTATCTCGTCATAGAAGGCAATTAGATTAGTCAGGCATGACTTGCCTTTGGTGAATCCATGCTGTCTGTTCCTGATCATTTTCCTCTCCTCTAAGTGCTTCAGAATTGATTCCTTGAGGATCTGCTCCATGATTTTTCCAGGGACGGAGGTGAGGCTGACTGGCCTGTAGTTCCCAGGATCCTCCTTCTTCCCTTTTTTAAAGATGGGCACTACATTAGCCTTTTTCCAGTCGTCCAGGACTTCCCCCCGATCGCCATGAGTTTTCAAAGATAATGGCCAATGGCTCTGCAATCACATCCACCAACTCCTTTAGCAGTCTCAGATGCATCGCATCCAGCCCCATGGACTTTTGCTCATCCAGCTTTTCTAAATAGTCCCGAACCCCTTCTTTCTCCACAGATGGCTGGTCACCTCCTCCCCATGCTGTGCTGCCCAGTGCAGTAGTCTGGGAGCTGACCTTGTTTGTGAAGACAGAGTCAAAAAAAGCATTGAGTACATTAGCTTTTTCCACATCCTCTGTCACTAGGTTGCCTCCCTCATTCAGTAAGGGGCCCACACTTTCCTTGACTTTCTTCTTGTTGCTAACATACCTGAAGAAACCCTTCTTGTTACTCTTAACATCTCTTGCTAGCTGCAACTCCAGGTGTGATTTGGCCTTCCTGATTTCACTCCTGCATGCCTGAGCAATATTTTTATACTCTTTCCTGGTCATTTGTCCAATCTTCCACTTCTTGTAAGCTTCTTTTTTGTGTTTAAGATCAGCAAGGATTTCACTGTGAAGCCAAGCTGGTCGCCTGCCATATTTACTGTTCTTTCTACATTTCAGGATGGTTTGTCACTGTAACCTCAATAAGGATTCTTTAAAATACAGCAAGCTCTCCTGGACTCCTTTCCCCCTCATGTTATTCTCCCAGGGGATCCTGCCCATCAGTTCCCTGAGGGAGTCAAAGTCTGCTTTTCTGAAGTCCAGGGTCCGTATTCTGCTGCTCTCCTTTCTTCCCTGTGTCAGGATCCTGAACTTGACCATCTCATGGTCACTGCCTCCCAGGTTCCCATCCACTTCTTCTTCCCCTACTAATTCTTCCCGGTTTGTGAGCAGCAGGTCAAGAAGAGCTCTGCCCCTAGTTGGTTCCTCCAGCACTTGCACCAGGAAATTGTCCCCTACACTTTCCAAAAACTTCCTGGGTTGTCTGAGCGCTGCTGTATTGCTCTCCCAGCAGATATCAGGGTGATTGAAGTCTCCCATGAGAACCAGGGCCTGCGATCTAGTAACTTCCGTGAGTTGCCGGAAGAAAGCCTCGTCCACCTCATCCCTCTGGTCCGGTGGTCTATAGCATACTCCCACCACGACATCACCCTTGTTGCTCACGCTTCTAAACTTAATCCAGAGACACTCAGGTTTTTCTGCAGTTTCATACCGGAGCTCTGAGCAGTCATACTGCTCCCTTACATACAATGCTACTCCCCCACCTTTTCTGCCCTGCCTGTCCTTCCTGAACAGTTTATAACCATCCATGACAGTACTCCAGCCATGTGAGTTATCCCACCAAGTCTCTGTTATTTGCTTCATTAACAAACTTTCCTTTTCACAGTAACCTTTTCTCCCTCTTGCTCCCTCACATCAGCCTGCAGTGTGCACTCTGCTGTGTAAGCCTTCTGGTGCTAATTCTGTTGTTACTGGTACTGCAGTAGCTCTGTAATTGTAGCTGTTCGGTGTCATCAGATATAAGCATAGTTTTTAGTGCTTCTCGGCCAGTGCTTCCCTCCTGACTTAGGTCAGCATGAGCTAAAGATAGACCCAGCTTGACATTACACTCCTGTCCCAACTCCATTTTCAGTCTCCTGTTACTAGCCAAA